GTCATCCTGATGATGTAAAGGTGAAAGAAATATTTAGAGATAAGCAAATCTTTATTATTATATTATAATTTAATTAAATATTATTTTCTTTAGACGATGTAAGATATACACATATACAGGATGATTCTCGTAAACGTACTTATTGAATATCTCGGAAAGAACTCATGATGCGTTCTTTTCGAGATATTGAGATAATGAGTACGTTTATGAGAATCACTCTGCATGTATTTCTCATTGTTATATTAGAGTTTTATAAATGTTAAATAAATTCGATATTTACAGTTTGTATTTGGAATTGTACGTTTGCCGGCTAATACAAATAAGAGTTGTTCAGAAAATAATTAACTTTATTTAATATTTTCTTAGACATAATTTTGTAAAAACAATTACACTTGTAGCAAGATAACACATAAATTACACTCCCTTTCTGTGGATTTTTTTATATTTTTTATCTATAATTTTTTATATGATTGTAGACAATATTAAACATTCCGACAGAACATGTTCGAAAAGGGTTTATATACACATTTATTTATCCTTGGTTGGGCACTGGCGTATTCACTAGTGAAGGTAACGTTATAGATCTAACATAATTCTCATTTCTAATATGTACAATATTTCGAATTGGAAATATATAAAAACTATACTTTTTAATTTTGATAAATGTCTACAAATACTCAGACCCGATTGTCCTGATATTGTCCTTTCACGTATGTTCAGTCTATAGTTCTGAGTAATGTTAATAAACAAAATAAGTTTCAAGAATTACATGTAATTTTCAAACGCCATAAAGGTTTTCACATATTTATCAATAAGAGGTACAGAATTTACAGTTCTTTGTTAGTAAAATTATTTATCCTGATGTATAAATTTGAATAACTTAATTTTTAAGGCAGGTATTACGACAAATACAATATTAGTGATTTAGAGTGTTATTACAATAAAAGAGAATATTATTTTATCTCTATTACAGCAACAAAATGGCGTAAAAGACGAAAGATGCTAACACCAGCATTTCATTTTGATATCTTAAAACAGTTTGTTAATGTTCTAATCGAGGAGGGTAATGACTTGACACAACGTTTGAATGACAACGAAGGATTGATTGTTAATGATTTAATTTTTTTATTAGTCATCATATGTTGAATGCAATATGCGGTACGTTCGAAATTTACAAAAACTTTTTTCTCTTTATTGACATTTAATTGATTAAATATTTATTATAATTATAATAATTTTTTATTAATTATACTTAATATTTGAGCACTGATAAACTTCTACACAGGGTTGGGAAAGTTATTTTGTAAAAGTATCTAGTTAAAGTTACAGTTCTTTTGACTAAAAAGACAACTAGTTACAGTTACAAGTTACCGACTCTGAAAAGTAACACGTTACAGTTATAGTTACTGAAAAAGTAACAAGTCGTTACTTTTCAGTTACTTTTTTGCAATAAATGTGCACTACTATTTTAAATATAAGAATCTTACATTTCAAGATTTATTAACTTATTATATACTACATAGGTACTTAATTTTGTGTTATATTATTTTATATGTAATAAATCACAATTGTTTTAAGCTTAAAATATTAAATTAATTAATAATT